CATAATGGGAATATTAAGCAATAATATTAAAATAACTATGAGAAATGTGTGAAAGGATCTAGAAGAAAAGGCGGCAGGCATGAGGGGCTGGAGTAATTACTGCAGCGACAATAATTATAAGACAGAGTCAGACAGGAAATCTAGAGGGAGAACCACCGCATCCGGGAGGAAGGGCCTTCGTGAGCTCATTAGTGGATGGACACGGCTGAGGAATGACGCGGTGACTCTAAAGAAAGGTTAATAGCAATTATGCAAACTGGGACCCACGGAGAGACGCGGATGAACCAGAGCTGAGCACACGGGGAGGTGCAGCCACCTCCGATGGCCTAATGGACACGGGGAGAGGATGTGCAGCCATTGCAGATGGTCCGGGCACGGGGAGAGGAGGTGCAGCCACCGCAGATGGTCCGGACACGGGGAGAGGTAGGGGTCCCACAAGAAGCGGGAGAGAGACAGGGCTAACGAAACGTGTGGGATGGTGATGGCCGAGAGTTGTTCATGAGGAATGACACCAAACCACAGATCTGAGAAGGGGAGCATGCCCCCAGCAGGATGAATATAGCGCCTGTGCACACACTCACACACACACACACACACACTCACACACACAAACAAAGAAGTGAGGATTCCATGGGGAGGCATTGTTGACATGCGAAAACCACACCTTTCCGCTCAGGTTCCTACGCCCAGCCCAACCCCCTCAGAACCGAAGGCGACATGACGACCTTCAGGAAACACCAGAAGCTGGGAGGATTCAGGTCAGTGGGCCTGACCCACGGAAAAGTCCCAGAAGTTCTTCAGACAGAAGAAAATCAAAGAGAATCCAGGTCTCCCCAAAGACACCAAAGGCTGTAAAGTCACTGAAATAAAGGCAAATAGAAATATATTTTCTTAGAGTTGATTACTCTAAAGAATATTGACTATGCACACTGAAATAGTTCAAATATGCTGTGGGCTTTATAACAAGTAAAATAAAAGATGAAATAAGAATGCCATAAAAGAAGAAAAAAGAAATGAAACGTATATGCCTTTTAGGTTCTTGTCATATTCACAAAGTGACAGGTATCTCTGAAGGTAAGCTGTGCTGTATTAATGACGGATATTTTAAATTCTAGGGAGACCATTAAAGTTTTAAACAGTTTCATCCAATGAGCCCATCCTGGAGACAGATTGGAGCAATAATAAGACTCAATTAAACCAAAGCTGGCAGGAAAAGAGGGGAAAATCCACAGAATACAAATACGACAAATGGAAACAATCCAACAGAACCCATATGTTTAATCTCATTAGCGATTCTTCCCCAAATCCCACTGAGCTCAGCGAGCACATGTCTAGTGCTCTACACATGGCGTATGTGATACATCACATACACACAGCAGCATGTTCCTTTTTAAAAAATTGATTTGAGAGAGAGAGAGAGAGAGACGTGAGAGGGAAACATCGACCTGCTTCCGGTTGCCTCCTGTAAGCACTGGACAGAGGTTTCAACCCGAAACCTGGGTATGTGCCCTGACCGGGAAACAAACCCGCCACCTTTTGGTGAATAGGATGGAGCTCCAACAAACTGAGCCACACCGGCTGGGAGAAAGGCAGTATATTCTCGATTAATATAATGTGTCAGTATATACAGCAACTAGAGGCCTCATGCATGAAATTCGTGTGAGGGGCTCGGCCCTCGCAGCCCTGGCTTCGTCCAGAAGGTCGTCTGGATGGTTGTTCTGCTGTTCGGTCTGGACTAACTAGCGTATTATGCTTTTATTATTATAGCTAGATGCTTATATACTTCTATGCAAACATTTCTATCTATATAATATTTTCCTATTAATTCAAGAATAGTTCTCCCCATGTTGTCCCCAGTGGCAGGTTCTATTTCATACACCTTTCAGTCTGATTTTGTATTTTCAGGACCAGCATCAACACTATCTACATGTCTATAATCTGAAGTTCCCAGATATTTGTTTGCTCATTTTTTTGTTTTTGTTGGGTTATTTCTCTGGATAAAGAGCCCAGAGCAAGAGTGACAGGGGAGGATCCTGCTGTATATCGTGTCCACGTCCAGTGAGGCTCACAGTGTAGAGGGGAGAGGCTGATGAAGGCAGGGACATTGGAAAACGCCTGATTTTCAGCCTTTATGTGGATTCTGTAAATTCACAGAAATCTGGGCCACACCGTGGGGCCAGACCACCTTAGAAACTTTTGGTTTCCTTAGTGTTTTACGATCCATCCCTTCACGCCAAAGGGTCTGTCTCCTGTTGGAGAAACGGACCAGCGGTCCTTCGGAAAGAAGAGCAGGCTGATCAGAAGGGGCCTCGTCCCCATCTCCACCGAGAGAACCGGGAGCTGGTGTGGCCGTCCCGTATCAGCTCAGGTTTCAGGGCCGGCCCGCTGGACCTGGCCCACGGGCTCCTGGACCTGCCACAGACCATCCGATGACGGGACCCTCGCTGTCATCGCTGGTGCAACAGGACAGCTGGGGTCCACACACACCTGCTCATGCGCGGAATTCCCTCCTCACGATGAGGAACACGTATCAGCAGGTGACCGAGACCTGGGCCCACAGAGAACACCCCACGTTCTGCTCCATCTCCTTGGAAAGCTGAGCACACCTCCAAGACAGGACATACGCCAACAGCTGTGACAGGCTTTGAGCTGGCACAGAGCGCGTGCTTGTTGGTGGTTTTATTACTATTTCATGAATAGAATTTTTAGTGAAAAGTCTGAGTTTAGAAACTGGCCGATTGGCCATACATATTTCAAGGCAGATGCAGAGCTATGTCCACAGATTACAAATGTCGGACGTGTTGGGGTCTGGCTGCCAACACGGGCTGTGAACGAATTCACAACCAAAGGAGGAGATACAGAGAGGAAGTTTATTTTCCTTTCCATGAAGGGAAAGGGCCAGGTGTCGCTAATCAGCATAAGGCAGGAAACGAAAGGGCGGCTTCCCTTTGTAAGCCTTGGCTGTTTCTAAGTGACAAGGAAGGGAGGCGGGTTCAGGGCTGAAGTGGAGTTTGTTTTTTGGGAGACAGTCCTACAGATGTCCTACAAGTGTCTTATCAGTATTTTTCCCACACCTGCAACACACGCTTAGAGCAGAAATGATGAATAATTCAAAAGAAGCCTGTTTGAAGGGGGGCGAGGAAGGAAACTTTCTAACTAGAGACTCCTTGGTGGGAATTATCCGAGATGTGAAAACAGCAGGGAGGAGGTGTAGCAAGAATGTAGCCTTGAGAGTAGCTATCTTGTCCCTCAGTTTGAACAGAGCGGCTGTTTGTTAAGACAACAATCCTGGTGTTTAATTACCTGGTACTTCTCATAAATGGTGGGAGGCCACCACAAGGAAAATGAGAGGGCTTTCCCTGTCCTTACAGGACGGTCTCTCGGCCACTTCCTCCACCACCCCCTCCACTGTCCGTGTCAACCTAGTCCTGGTACACTTTCTAGAACCCGCGCTGTAACCTGGAGGAGAGAATGAGAGCAGAGAAAGGCCTGCCCGGAGATCCAGAGACAAGGATGGCATGAGCTATCAGGATGGTGTTAGCATCTGGAAGGAGTTACTAAAAACAACAACAACAAACACACAAAAACATAGCATTATGTTCGGCCACATTAAAAAAATAAACAACTACATTAAGCAATTAAATAAGGCCTCAGATCCTTGAACAAGAGTCATTTCTGTGAGAAATAGCTGTCGCTCTCTTGTAAGGAAGCACATTGGCCGGGAATTCAGGGAAAGGAGATGATTGTGTGGTTGGCGTGGCCAGTCCACAGCTAAGTGCACACGACACTCGTTGTGGCTCATTCTTTCATTCGCACCTCCGCCCGTTAGAAGTGAGGGACACGCCAGAAAACCCGAGATAACAACCTTGCGAGGAAAAGAGACAAGGACCCCCAACTTATAACACTTCTGAAGAGATTATCGGATTTACGAACCCTGACATAACGAAGGCTTATACTCCCCACCTACATGTGCATGATGTAGCCAAGCAGCAGGTCTCCCCAGACACATCCTCCCTCAGTGACACCCACAGCACCATTCCGACTGCCGCCACAGCAGTCCTCGTCACACACGTGGCGAGGAACTGGCATACACAGGCCCCTGCAGAAGCAGGGAGGTTCCACGGGATGAGCAGCAGCCCTGGGCTCCGTGTCTGCGGCAGAAGATGCATCGTCTGCCGGGACCCTGGCCTTTCGGAGACGCATGTGCCGCGGCGTCCGGCAAACTGTTTATCTCGGTCCGAAGACCACTTCCTGCTGCTGAGCCACACACCGCCTATCTGCAACTGCTCATTAGAGGAGACGGATGTGCGCATGAAGCGCTTTTAGTGCTGGAACGCGCGTCCTGAAATAAACCCCGTGCCTGGGAAACGCTCACCGCGCTCGCTCTCGCAGCGTCTGCCTGCCTCACCCACCACCCTGGAGATTTGTGACCCTGACCTTTGTCATCCATTTAGCGGACTATTAACTCAGCTGCGCATCCATTTTTAAAAGGTTAGCGGCTCCTCCGCGATACGTTCTTCCAATTAAAATGAAGAATGCCCGGATGCAGGCAGCGCGGGGGCGGCTCTGGGCCCCTGTTCACAGCCGCGGAGACTCGGAACGAAAGGGCGCGTGGCCATAATCTGCTTGGAAATTGCCGTTCTCCCTCTCCTGGGTGCTGGTGGGAAGAGTCACCATCACAGGAGGACTGGCGACATCGCAAAGGTTACTTTTTATGCCTTTTAGTGCAAACAACCTGAAACGGAGCCGTTGCTGCAACTAATTATTCCAGGCCCTCCCACCCACTTTGTCTTTCCTCGTGCATGTTTCCTAGAGGAAGATTCGGTCCAGCTCGGTGTCCCTCTACTTTGGAACATGGATGCAGGAGACACTTCACTGCAGGGTAAGGGGCTGGGCTCATTTTCCTCTAACGACACTCCCCAGTTGGGCAACGGAGGGGGGGGGCGGTCCT